GGGCAAGAGCTGCTAGCAGCACCTCAGATTCATTATGCATTTGATTTTTAATTAATTTTTGGCTGTTGCACATTCAGAAACCTTTTACTGTGGCCAGATTTGGCCATCTGGGGTCGTGATCCACAGCTTAAGAAGAGTTGCTCTAGACTCATGAAGTCACAAATCCGAATTGTGTGGCAGTTGTATGACAAAAGGGGAAACAGAAGCATACATGAGGGTTTTCAGTCTAGAATTTTCATGAGCATGTCTTTTTTCTCCAGCTAGGTTGTAAGCCTCTAGAGGGCAGAAACGATTGCCTACTGAGGATCACAGATTCAGAGCTAGAAAAGGCCCTCAGAGGCCAGCTGGTTGACTCATTCTACAACAAGGAAACTGAGGCTCAGAAAGATGAAGGGACTTGTCCCAGGAAGAAAGGAGCAGAGCTGGGATTTGAACTCATGTTGTCTAATTCCACGTGGCCCTCTAGGTGGCGTACCAAGTCTGGAATCAAAAAAATTCTTCTTCCTTAGTTCAAATCCAGCCTCAGACACTTACTAGCTATGTGACTCCAGGCAAGTCACTTAACCTTGTTTGCCTCAGTTTCCTCATCTGTAAAATGAACTGGAGAAAGAAATGGCAAACTGCTCTAGTATCTTTGCCAAGAAAACACCAAAGAGGTCATGCAGAGTTGGACTCAACTGAAAAACAAAATCAACAACCTCTAATTTCAAGCTGTTAGTGCCTCCCACTTTGTATTCCTAGCCCTCCATAGAGCAGACACTCAATAAATGTTTTTGTTGTTAAAAATGATGAAGAGTTTTAAACCTGAATGATCAAGCTTTCAGAGAGGCATTATATCTTTATTCTTGCCATCATTCCTCCAGAACAGCTCCATTATCTTAACACTTTATCATACGAAGCAAAGAATTCTATTTTACAATGCAAAAAAAAAAATTCACTCCATTAACAAAATTATAGTTACCATTCCCTGTATCTACTAAACAGAGGTTTACCTTGAAACAGTTTTCTTTTCTTTCTTTTTTTTTTATCTATCTTAAACCATTTTCAGGTACTTATTGGTAAGCAAGATTTGACATGATAAATGAAAGATATAATTTCTCAGTTGAGAGTAGCTTCACAAAAACTGAATGAAGCAAGTGATGATATGGTTGTAATATGAGGAACATGGCCTTCATATCAACAGATCTGTTGTAGAATAGAAAATCATCAGTGCTCACTAAAATGCCTTCCATCGCCACCATCATTCAAGTAGCTCCTGCCATTTGGGGTAGGAATATTTTCTGCTTGGAAGAAAGGAGGCCTCCCCCCAATCATATATGTATAGGGTCTCTCCCACCCAAAGACATCCGTCATGCTGGCCGTGAAAGGTCCTCCCTAGGACATTCCAAGCCTCCTCACCCTTGACACCCAAGCATGAAATACTGTTTCTGCCAAACCAATCTATCACCCCAGTTTAACTGGTTTACTCATTATTCACCTAAAAGGCTTTTACCTCTCTTGGTGTCTTTGGCTCTGCTATTTTCCCCTTGCAAATGTTATCCCTCCCTCCCTAACCCCTTACCCCCATGTACCTTTTTTTTCTTCTTACCTGTATTCTCTCTGTCTATAGGTGTAGTCTAAGTGATCTCCTCTCAGACTGAGTTTAATTGCTACGCTATTTAACTAGATTTTAACAATGTCAAGCAGTGGGTGGCTTTTTTTTTTATCTTAGGGACTGCATCTTATTTTTCTCTGTCCCTGTAGGGCCCACTTTAGGGCATCAATAGGTACTGAATGAATAAATCTCCTCATTCATTGGCGTTAAGGACAGGACAATGCTCATTGTTTCTCAGAAGCTCCCAGCACAGGGCCTTCATCGCACATAGTAGGCTTTCAATAAACATCTGATGATTGATGAGTGAACGGAGGAGCAAGAGGGAGAAAAGAATCAATCTATAAATCAACGATGTATTAAGTGACTACTGTCTTCTTCCCTATTCTAAGTCCAGCATTTTATGCACTGGTGGGTTAATGCGGAATGAAACAGAGAGAGACATTACTCCTCACGTCTTCAGTTCAGCCATTTTGTTACTTGGATTAGAGACCATACCCAGGAACACTTAACCCTTTCAGGTCCTGACCTCCCACCCTAGAGCCCTTGTAGTCCTGATTGCTAAACACTTACTGTGGGCCACTCTTTCAATCCAGTCCAAGCTAAACTTCGCTTTACTCCCTGGCCATCCATTCACCAACCACTTTTCCACCAGCTACCTTGTGACCTCTCTCTTTGTAAATCACCTGCTTATAACACAGCATCTGGTGTACCTAAGCACTTTTTTCATTCATTCAAAGGCCATGGGAGAGAAGGGGAAAGAGAGGATGCAAAGGAGTCTGGGTTGTCCCCAGCCTGGAGAATTCATTGGAACCATAACTCCTTCTTGTTTGTCCCCCACATGGTTCGCTTCTCGCTGTGTCTAAATCACAGCCGCCTTTGCTCAATGATGATAAATTCATCTGGAGTACTCCATATGGTAAGAGTAGAGAAATGATTCATTAGCTTCTCCCCCTTTCCCAGAAGGTGCTCACAAGGGGCCAAGGGGACACTCCTCTCGTGAAGCTTGTGATTTCTCTCCAATCCTTCACCAGCCAGGAGAGATAAGCAGCAAAGAAAATTCTATGGAAACCAGCCCTTCAGAAAACACAGCTGTTAATGGGACATAAATTTTGCATTATAAACCCCAAGCAAAGGATGCCATAGCCAGCAGGACAGGTTTCCTGTTCTCCCTCCTGTTTTGTTCATAGCCCTCCCTCCCTTCAATCTGTCTGAAAAGGACACATACATATCGATCCCCAATTTCCCATCAAGGCCAAAACTCAGTCCAAAAGCTGGCTGCTCCTTGCCAGCATCTTAGAACCAATGTTGAGGATCTAGACTCAGGCATTTCTTTACCATATGAACCCAAGCACCTCACTTAGTCTCTTTAAGCCTTAGTTTTCCCATCTATAAAATGGGAATGTTAATATTAACATTAATGTTAATATTAACATCTATCTCACAGAACTGTTGTGAGGATCAAATGAGATGTATATAAAGCCCTTTGCAAACCTTAAAAGTTTTTGTAAATGTAAGCTAGCATTAGTATTATTTTAAAAATCCATTTCAAATCTGTAAGGATGTATTGGTAAACGTTTAACAACTAGCACCCTCCAAAAAAATAAAAGGATGCATGATACACTTTGAGGTTTAATCTGCATTATTAACATTATTCTCTATGACTTTAGCAAGTCTAGACAATCAATAAAGCAATAAATTAAGCCCTAATTTCCAGGCATTAGCCAATTTCCAAAGTGTGAATACTCAAACTGAAAATTTAGCGATTGGCTCTTGTGAACCAGTACAAACTGGCTCTGCCAGTCCTGCATTATCTCCAGCAGTATCAGAATGCCCAAATAGCACATAACAGCTAATCCAAAAATTATTTCTGCCTTTGCAATATATTCTAGGCAAGCATATAGGTTTAAGTTCTAGGTCTCCAAGCCAAGACTTGTCCAGAGGACTCCACCATCAAATCCACTGCTCCCAAATGCCCTTGCTAAAAGTTCTAGAGTCCCCTCCTTTCTTTACCCCCATCATGCTGGCCTTGAAAGGCCCTCCCCAGGACATTCCAAGCCTCCTCACCCTTGACACCTTAGCATGAAATACTGTTCCTGCCAAATCAGTCTATCATCCCACTTTGACTGGTTTACTCATGATTCACAAGAAGGCTTTTACCTCTCTTGGTGTCTCTGGCCAAGCTTCCCTTATGATCATGTGAATTTATCTGACTTCTTTTATAAGGATTGCCCAATCCTCTGTCCCTACAATCCTTCACAGAGTTCTCTACATGCTTTTTTTTTTTTTTTTGCTTTTTGGTGGGGCAATTGGGGTTAAGTGACTTGCCCAGGGTCACAAGGCTAGTGAGTGTCAAGTGTCTGAGGCTGGATTTGAACTGTGCCACCTAGCTGCCCCTCTACCTATCTTTCAATGCTGTTTTAAAGATATAACAATAAAGAGAGAATTCTTAGCTTTGTTTGTGTCATAGTCCCCTTTGACAGACTGGTGAAGCCTATGGGCTCCTTCTAGGAATCATGTGCTTAAATGCATAAAATAAAATACACAGAATTGCAAAGGAAATTAATTACATTGAAATAAAGTATCAAAAAATATTAAGTTCATAGATCCTAGGTTAAAAATCCCTTTAAAAGAGAAAAAAATGAGGCACTGGATTGTGGAAAGCATGATGGACTTGAAGTCAATATGAGTTGGGTTCTAATTTGGTCTCAGACACTCAGTAGCTATAGAATTCTGGGAACATAATTTAACCTTTCCTATCGTCAGTTCTCATCTGTTAAACGAAGGTGTTGGACCTCATTACCTCTTAGGAACCTCCCAACTCTAAATGTACCATCTCTAAGGCCCTTTTGAGTGCTAAATCTTATAATCCTAGGTGACCATATTTTGGAATGGATAAGTGGCTAAACTCCCCGAGGGCAGACAGGTATGACCTTGTTTTGGTGTTTCCCAAGGGTGCCCTGGCTGTCTGAGGAACCTTCCTTTGGTCTGTCAACTGTGGCAAACTCATAATACTTTTAGTGGCCTCAATTTACTTATCTGTAAAATGAGATGGATTGAACTAAAGGACCTTTCAGGTTCCACTCAGCTCTAAAAGTCCTATGCTTCTATAAGTTCCAGGGGGGGATTTGAACCCAAGACTTCAGATAGTGATCCACTGTAAGATGTCATTACCTATTTAATCACTTCATTTCTCTTCCAGATGGGAAGGGAATAGTTCTCATAACAGATATTATAGTTGTGTCCATCACTCAGAAACCAGGAACTGATTTCATTCCATACGTGCACAAAAGACCACCTCTCTTTTTTTCTTTGCATGCTGAATAAATTGGACTGATTTTTGGAAAGGGAATGAATTGCTTTACAGAAGAGGATGAGGGGAGACAGAGACAAGGAGAAGAGACTTTACCTGCTGCACATCCTGCTGGAAGACGCAGAGCTGCAGCCGCTGGTGCAGGCGGACCTTCCGGTGCTGCCAGACGCTCTCAAGCCTTCGCTGGTGGTGCAGCACCTCATGGACGACATCCAGGACCTGGTGCACAGCTTTGGAGTAATTGGCAGTGGCTGTCAGGGACTCCGAGTTGCCAGGACTCAGGGGCCGCTGCAATACATCCAGCAAGGCTTTGCCATCCTGGCTGACCTGCAAGAAGAAAATGGGGTATGTTCTAGACTCAGGCTGAGAAAGTGCTCCAAGAGAAAACCAGTCCAAGACAATGGCAGCATGAGAATCCCAGCTAAGGCTGCAGATGCAGGGGAGCTAAAGGAGAGGGGAAGTATGGGGGGGGTACAGGGGGATTTGACTAAAAATAATTGGCCTCCCTCCCTCCATACTCCAACCCATCCTCCATATGTCAAAATGATTTTCCTGAAAGGCAGCTCTATCACTTCCCAGTCAATAAATTCCCATGGTTCCCAATTGTTATTAGGATCTAATATGAGTTCCTTTGTTTTAACTTTTAAAGTCCTTTACAACTTGGCCTCAAACAATCTTTCCAATCTTATTACACATTATTGCGCTTCCCATATTCTATGGTCTTGCCAAACTGGTCTCCTTGCCATTCCTCACACATGGGACTCCCATTTCTCCTCTCTGAGCCTCTGCACCTAAGGTACCTATGCCTATGATGCATTCCCTCTTCTTCTCTGCCTCTCAGAACCCCTTGTTCCTTTCCAAATGTTGCTCAAGAGACTGGCTACAGGAAGCATTTTCTGATCTGCCCCTCCAGCTGCCAGTGCTATCCTAAATTTAAATCCTATTTATTATATTCTCTGTATAGACTTATTAATTTGCATGTTATCTCCCCTGGTTGAATGCAAACTCCTTCCTTTTGGTATCCCTTGTACCTAGCACAGTGTCTGACACACAGCTGGTGCTTAATAAGTGCTTGTGGATTAATTAACCTCCTTATGGAGGATGGGTCTCAGTGAGTGGTAGTGAATTGATTGACTCAGATGAAGTAGGACAGGCTGTTATGAGAGGAGCTGACCTATAAAAGGGACTCTTTACCCCAAAACTAGGCCTATCCTTTTTTATCTTTTTTAGAAGACAGGCAACAGAGCTAAGAGCAGACCTGTGCATTGCTAGGAGGACAACACTTATGGCAGCCTTGAGGCACAGGCACGTGAGTGCTACATGTGCTTTCACTGAGGTCACCCAAGAGGAGAGCTCTTGGACCTCAAATTCCTGGCTACAGTCTTGGAGGGGTAGTGGCATAATCTCTTAGCCTAAGTAAGAGCAGGTGTGGAGGAAGGAGCTTCATGGTTGCTGTGATTGCTCCTAAAATTCAGCTTCCCAGAAAAGTATTGAGAGGTCCTGAAACACAGCAGTGTGTATGTGTGTGTGTGTGTGTGTGTGTGTGTGTGTGTGTGTGTGTGTGTACATGTGCGCACGTGGGGGAGGGGGACGTAATTGAAGGTTTCTAAGCAATATAACGGAGAAAAAGGAGTTTCCTGAAGTTTTCCTTGAAATTTTATCTACTATTCAAGACTTTTTGTTCAAATATTAACTCCTCAATAAAGCCTTTGCTGATATCCCCACTTTCTTTCCTCTGATATCACACAACACTTTGTAACTCTTGTGCATGTATTATGCTCTATCTCACACTACAGACACTGAATAGGTATTTCCTATTTATCAGAGTTTGGCATATTTATGTAGGCATTGTATCTCTCCTGCTAAACCGTAAACATCAAGAGGACAGAAACTGGATCTTTGTATTTCCCCCAACATCTAGCACAGTATTTTGTATGAACTTAGTAAATGATTATTGATATTCTGGATATATATTATATATAATGGACATATCCATATATTATATATATGGATATATGTACATGAATATATATGTATATTTTATATATATCCAGATATTCTGGAAGTATATTAAAAACATCCTTTTCAATTTCTCTGGAAATATTAAAAAATAAAATATCTCTGGGCTAAAAGTCCTTTCTAGACTCCCCTTCCCCTTTTGAAGGGTGGGTTAGGTAAAGAACAAAAATCTGGGGGTGGAGCCAAGATAGAGGAGAAAAGACAGGGACTCACCTGAGCTCTCCCCAAATTCCCCTCCAAATATCTTTAAAATCATGCCTCAAAACAAATTCTGCAGCAGCAGAACCCACAAAAGAGTGGGTTAAATAAATTCCCAGCCCAAGACAACTGTGAGAAGGTCAGTAGGAAAGGTCTGTTGCATCAGGGGTGAGAGAGGAGCACAGGCCAGTGCAGGCTGTGCTGGCACAGACCGGGCCTCAGCCCCAGAGCAGGGCTTGTAAGAGACTGAATCAACAGCAGCAGTGGCTACTTCTAGATCTCTCAGCTCATAGATGGTAAGGAGTGGAACAACTGGTCAGAAGGAGATTACAGGAGTACCTTTGCTGGCACTGGAGGTCGGACTCTGTTGCTTTGCCCATACTCTGATCTGGGTCTTAGTCCTGGGTGGCAGTCCCAGGGTGAGAAGGAGAACTAGCACACCAGAGCTTGTGACCACAGGGGAGATGGGACCTCGCTCACAGCTCCAGGGCAGAAAAGAGTACTTGTGGTAACTCACAGACCAGAGCACAGGCCAAGAGAGTAGTAAACATCCCTCTCCTTAGATCACACCACTTTGGAAGAACTGAAAGCTTACAGACCCCCAGAACTAGCTCTGAAAAAAGCTGTACAAAAAACAAAGAAACAAAAAAAATCTGAAGCTTGGGAAAGTGCAGTCTCTACCCCAGAAGCAGAGCCCCACTTTAACATAGAGTTAAAAGTCAAGAAATAAGCTGGGAAAATGAGAAAACAACAGAAGAAAATTCTGACTCTAGAAAGTTACTATGGTAACAAGGAAGCTCAAAACACTTAGAAGACAACAAAGTCAAAACTGCTATATCCAAAACCTCGAAGAAAAATATGAATTGGTCTCAGGTCATGGAAAAGCTCAAAAAAGGATATTAAAATCAAATAAAAGAGGTAGAGGAAAAATTGGGAAGAGAAATGAGAATGATGCAAGAAAATCATGAAGAAAGAGTCAATGGCTTGGTAAAGGAGGCACAAAAAATACTGAAGAAAATAACACCTTAAAAAAACAGAATAGGCCAAATGGTAAAAGAGGTACAACAATCCAATGCCTTGAAAGGAGAAGAATGCCTTGAAAAGTAACATTGGCCAAATGGAAAAAGATATATGAAAAATCACTGAAGAAAAAAACTCCTTAAAAGGCAGAACTGACCAAATGGAAAAGGAAGCACAAAAGCTCACTGACGAAAATAATTCCTTAAAAATTAGAATCGGGCAGGTGGATGACTTTATGAGACATTAAGAAACAATAAAACAAAATCAAAAGAATTTAAAAATGTGAAATATATCATTGGAAAAATAACTAACCTGGAAAAAATAGATCCAGGAGAGATTTTTTTAAAATTATTGGACTACCTGAAAGCTATGTTTAAAAAAAAAAAGCCTAGACATCATCTTTCAAGAAATTATCAAGGGAAACTCCCCTGACATTCTGAAGCCAGAAGGTAAAATAGAAATTAAAAGAATCCACCAACTGATTAAAAGAGATCCAAAAATGAAAATTCCCAGGAATATTATAGCCAAATTCCAGAACTCTCAGGTCAAGGAGAAAATATTGCAAGCAGATAGAAAGAAACAATTCAAATATTTTAGAGCCAAAGTTAGAATTAACACAAGATTTAGCAGTTTCTACATTAAAGGATAGGAGGGCTTGGAATATAATATTCTGGAGGGCAAAAGGGCTAGGATTACAACCAAGAATCACCTACTCAGCAAAACTGAATATAATCCTTCAAGGGAAAAATAGATATTCAGTGAAATAGAAGACTTTCAAGCATTCCTAGTGAAAAGACCAGAGGTGAATAGAAATTTTGAGTTTCAAATATAAAACTCAAGAGAAGCATAAAAAGGTAAACACCAAAGAGAAATCATAAGGGTTTCAATAAGGCTAAACCAGTTAAATTCCTACATGGGAAAGTGATACTTGTAACTCCTAAAAACTTTCTCATTATTAGGGCAGTTAGAAGGAATATACATAGACAGAGGGCACAGGTGTGAGTTGAATATGATGGTATATCTAAAAAAATAAAATTAAGGGGTGAGAAAGAGGAATGTGCTGGGAGAAGGGAAAAGGGTGTGGTAGAATGGGATAAATTATCTCATATAAAAGAGGTGAAAAAGAGCTTTTACAGTAGAGGGGAAGATGAGGGATGTGGGGGAAGAGAAGAAAGTGAACCTTACTCCCATCAGAATTAGCTCAGAGATGGAATAAGATATATACTCAGGTGGCTATAGAAATCTATCTTACCCTACAGAAAAGTAGGAGGGGAAGGGGATAAGAGAGGGCAGTGGTGATAGAAGGGAGGACAGATTGGGGGAAGATAAAGAAAAGAAGGAAAACACTTTTGAGGAAGAGCAGGGTGAAAGGAGATAGAGAGTAGGATAAATGAGGAAAAATAGGATATTTGGAAATAAAGTTAGTAATAGTAGCAGTGAAAACATTTTTACAGCAAGTTTTCTGATAAAGACCTCATTTCTTAAATATATAGAGAACTGAGTCTAACTTATAAAAATAGGAGCCATTCCTCAATTGCTATATGGTCAGAGGATATGAACAGGCAATTTTTAGACAAAGTAAATAAAGCTATCTATAATCATATGAAAAATGCTCTAAATCACTATTGATTAAAGAAATGCAAATTAAAACAACTCTAAGCTACCATCCCACATTTATCAAATTGGCTAATATGACAGAAAAGGAAAATGACAAATGTTAGTGTGGATGTGAGAAAATTGAGGCACTAATGCACTGTATACTGATTGCATACTGATTGCATACTGATACGTGATGTGATATATACTGATTCAACCATTCTGTAGAACAGTTTGGAACTATATCCAAAGGACTATAAAACCATGCATGATACCCTTTGACCAAGCAATATAACTGCTAGGTTTGTATCCCAAAGAGATAAAAAATATCCTCCCCCCAAAAAGGAAAAGGATTTATGTGTACAAAAATATTTATAGCAGCTCTTTTAATGATGGCAAAGAATTGGAAATTGATGGGATGTCAATAAATTGGGGGACTGCTGAACGAGTTGTATATGATTGCGATGGAATACTATTGTGCTATAAGAAATGGCAAGCAGGATGCTCTCAGAAAAAACCTGGAAAGACTTATATGAACTAATGAAAAGTGAAATGAGCAGAACCAAGAGAACATTGTACACAGTAACAGCAACACTGTATGATGATCAACTATAAATGACTTAGCTATTCTCAGCAATAGAGTAATCCAGGATGATTCTGAAGGACTTATGATGAAAAATGCTATCCATGTCAAGAGAAGGAACTGATGGAATCTGAATGCAGAACAAGGCATACTTTTTCTTTACTTTCTTTGTTTTTCTTCTTTTTTGTCTATGTTTTCTCTCACAACATGACTGACGTAGAGATAGGTTTTGCATGACTGCACATGTATAATCTGTATCAGGTTGCTTGCCTTCTCAATGAGGTTGGGAGGATAAGGAGGGAGAGACAGAATTTGGGACTCAAAATTTTTCAAAAATAAATAAAAATTGTTTTGACATGTAATTGGGGAAAAATAAAATATTAGAAAAAACAGGGGAAAAGAACAAAAGTCTTTTCTTAAGGAAATGGATTAAAGATGGAAACTAAATTTTGAACAAAGACTACCTCTTATTTTTGTTTAAATCACTGCCATCCCTACCTTCTGAGGATTGGGCATTGACTCATCTTTTCCCCATCCCCTGGAGCAACTGGTAGATTGGCAGCACTATGAACCATTCTTCTTCATTGAGAAAGGATACTGATTGCAAGGAAGACACCCATATAATCCTTTAGAGAGTGGTCAAAGAAGGAATCCAAGAGAGATGATTAGTATGGAATATTAACTCTACTAGTAAACTCTGGACTGATAACAGAAGGGGATGGGATGCTGCCTTTGCTGGCTCCTCCCTCTTTTCCCTGTTCCCTCAGGCCCTGACAATAAGTTGGCAGAAGGTTCAAGATCCCAGATAAGGCTGCTATCACTTTCAGTTGACTATGGGAACTAGCCAAGCTGATAGGGTTCTGAGGAAAAGTGGGTAGAAAGTCTAGGAAAGGCTGCTGGAAAAAAAGTCAACTCAAATACCACCCCACATCCAACTCTACCCCATATGGTTCAATGTCAGGGGAAGCAGAGAGAGGAGAATATTATGAAATGGTCAAATGGAATCTCCCTCCAGTTGATGTTTTGGTGAACAAGCCATCTTTCTTTTGGCCAAATCCCAGGGAGCGCACCCCACATGGTTCTGAGCAATTATGCTGCTTGATGATTTGATGCCATAGAGGCCAGTGTGGCTTGGGATAGGGATGCTCTCATGATAAGACACCTAGTTCTAGAGAAGCTCTGATCCCCTCTGCCTCATTGTCCACGTCTGGGTGAGGCAGCTGATGACTTTTCACTCTATCACTTGAGGATTTAGAGGGAATGACTAGGCATAACAGAGGTACGTTCATCCTACAGGAAACAAGTGCGAGACACTTGTGTAGGGGAAAGAAATCTGGGACTCTGAGTTAGGAGATATGGTTTCTAGACCCAATAGGACCATGAACTTGGACAAGGTACTTCATTCCTTTAGGTCTCAATTTTCTCAACTGTAAAAGAAGGGGGTTGGTTTAAATGATCTCTAAGGTTCTCTTTTGAAAAAAGTTCTGTGATTCAAATATGATTATTATTCAGAGGATCAGAGATCTCAAGTTGGAAGGGACTTCATAGGCCCACTAGTCCAACACCCCCATTTTATAGATAAGGAAAGGAGGCCCTAGGAGGTTGAGTGATTCTACCGTGGTCACCTTGGTAACAGGATTTGAATTTAGGTCTTCTGATTTCAGAGCCACTGTTCTTTCTATTGTGAATCATGCTGTTTCCCTTAATATTTATATGTCTCATTTGGTCACATGAACTATTTGTGCATGATCAATGGTAGAGCTTCCAAGTTCATATTGGTCTGATTGACCTCAGTCAGACAAATCGTCCCTTGTGCACCTTGACCCTGACAAAGTATTGTCATTTTGGTCCTCTTCAAACATGGACAACAATGAGCTAATCTCATCTGTGTCAGGTTTTTTTTTTTTCTTTAATAGGAGCAATCTGGAAGATCCAATCACCCCCAAAGTAGCAGATGTGCTTGCCTTATAGAGTGACTATAAAACCCACTTCGGCCAATTCTTTGGTTCCAAATTCCACTTGATTATCAGGCTAAGAAGCAAAGTTGCTAGAGACGTGTCTGAGGAGTCAATTATAGAGAAACCATGCCAACTGTCAGGGATGATACTTCTTTGGAGAAACAAGCTTACTGGTGAGTAATTGGGTTTTCTCCAAAAAAGGAATTGAGACATCCCTGCCAGTTGACACAATAGGTGACCAAGTAGCCAGACCACCAGGAGGGGGGGATAGAGGTCAAGTTGAAAACAGTGGCTGGACTGCAAAATTAAATTGAGATTCCAGTAGGAGGCAAAGTCAAATCAAGATAATTTCTTTGTCAAGGGTGGGGTAGAAGAAAGGTGATTATCTCATGAATTGCAGACATTCAGGGAACTGTTTCTGAGAAGCATAAGCTATGGCTGTCCTGTCTCCAAGCAACTAATGGCTATAGAAAAGCAGAGGAAGTCCAATATCTCTGGAGCACATTCTAGTCAGTTGGGAAGGACAGGTCATTGACTTTATGTTAAAGGAAGTAAAGAACAATGAATATAAAGTCAAGCCTTCAGTCATTCTCCCTAAGAAAGTACAACTTTCCCATCTATGTATCAATCAATCAGAATTTATTAAGTGCCTCCTATGTACCAATCCTTGGGCTGGTTGCCAGGGTTACCAATTCAAAATGAGACATTTTTTGTCCTTGGGAACTTTATAAAAAGGTAGGGGGGTGACCCGCACTAGATGGAAGGTTCGGTGGGAAAGGATGGGAGAGTATGCCTTAGTTTATAAAAGTCACACTAATGTGAAAAAGTGGGGCAGATTTTATCAGAATGTTCTAGGGAAGACAAAGTCATATACTAGAGCTCTCTCACACATTATGATGCATCTTTGCTCTCCCCAAGCTCTGTGATCCAGCCAAACTGGCCTCCTCTCTGTTGCAGACAACACTCAATCTCCCATCTCTGTGCCTTTGCACTGGCTGTCCTTCATGCCTGGAATACCCTCTCTTCTCATCTCTGCCTCACACAATTCCTCTTTTCTTTTACGCTGAAGCTCAAGCATGACCTCCTATAATCTCTCCTGATCTCCTCAACCGTTAGTAACATCGTTCCCAAACTCCCTTGTATCGAACTATTTTGTATTTACTCTCTCTACATTTATTCTGCATAATCTTATGTATGTACTTCTTGTCTCCCCAGTTAGAATGTGAGCTCCTTCCATCATTCACCATCTTTGTATTCCCAGAGAGTGCCTAATGGGGTGGGAAACCTGTAGCCTCAAGGCCACACATGGCCCTCTAGGTCCTCAAGTGTGGCCATTTGACTGAATTCAAACTTCACAGAATAAATCCCCTTAATAAAAGTAGTATAATAAACATAATAAGTAATAAAATTAGCATAATAACATTAACAAAAATGATTTGTTCTGTAAAACTCAGACTCAGTCAAAAGGCCACACCCGAGGACCTAGAAGGCCACATGTGGCCTTGGTCACAGGTTCCCCACTCCTGCCCTAGAACACAGTAGGAACTAAACAAATGTTTACCAATTGATGGACTGATGTAAAAATCTCCTTCAAATGGGAGAAAATAAGGGAGAGAAACTAATGGAATTCTCTTATGGCAGAGAACAGAAGGCAAAAACAGCAGTGACTTTGAGGACATACTGGGCCAGCATTACCAAGCCCTGATATTCAAGAACTAAGATGTTGACTGGATGAGTTAATGTCCCTGTGACTCAAATTACCAGTAATTTGTATTCCTATGGAAAAGTCTCCCTATGCCAGGAGGATAATCGCTACTTGGGGAAATAGAAATGCTAAACTGTACAGACTGCTGGGACCACATATTGACTTAGAAAATCACATATTCACATTATCTATGTTCCATTGTGTTTTTATTTATTTTGTTACATAATTCCCAATTACATTTAATCTGGTTGGACCACAATAAGGCCATATTGCAGGTTTCAGGCTGCATGTTTGATACCTCTGGTCTAAGCAACTGATCCTACAAAGAATTTCTAGAGAAGTAAGGGCAATTTCATCAAGTTCAACCTAGGGGAAAAGTGTAGACTTGGTAACTTGGTAGATCAGGGAGTACTTTCATAGTACAGTACTCTGCACAGAACGGGCACTCAGCCCATGGTGTTTTCTGCTGACATCACTAGCTACATGACCAGAGGCCAGGTGGGAGAATAGTCCAAAGATAGGGATGGGGAGGAGGATGGTTATTGGCCCCTGGAGGATTCTCAGAGAGGGAGACAATCTTGAGTCTGTACCATCCCCACCACACTCACTGGACAGTGGACAGATTTACCTCCCAAGCCCCTATGTTATTTCTCATTCTTACCCCTCTCCCCCCACCCCAGTTAAATGCGGTTCTTACCTCAGTGTAGGCCTGTGTCACCTGCTCATACAATGACTGGTGGTGGTGGATGGCCAGCTCTAGGTCCTGTGTCTCAGATGGGAGGCCGCCTTCACTGCACATCTTGCACCAGGCGTCCACTCCTGACAGGAACTGAAATTATACCAGGTATTAAGTTAGGGAGAGGGAAGGCATTGTGGTATAGCAGACAGAGTAGTGAGACATGGAGTCAGAAGATTCAAGTCAAAGCTTTGCCAATTCTTAGATATGTAATTTGGGCAAACCACTTTTTTCTAGGTCCCAATTTCCTCATCTAGGAAATACAGGTGCTAGGCTAGATGTATCCTAAGACCGTTTCTAGCTCTGTCTCCTGTGATCCTCCCCCAGAGACAGAGATGGTGACCTTGAGAGATTCTGACAAGAGGAAGAGCTTAGGTCCAACAGCAACTCGTAAGCAATCAGTGTAAACCTTTCCTCGCTTAGATATAAACTCCTTAAGAGAGGATATTGTTTCTTTCTCTGTTTCTGTATTCCCAATGTACAGCACAGGGACTGGCATATAAAAGGCATCAATAAATGCTAGATGATTGATTGACACTTGAGAGGTGTTCTGAGCCAGCTCCTGGCTTATGGAATCACTGCTTAAGCTCAAGACGCTAAAGATTTTCTTAGCTGTCATTCTACATTAGTATTAAAAGTCTTGGGAGGGGGAGGTTTTATTGGAGGGAAACCCTGGATAAACAGGCTAATTTGGACAGAATAATAGTGTGGCTTTTATTTATGCACAATGAACTGCTCTGCTAATCTGTCCCAACTCTTGCCTTCAAGTATATTCCAAATTACTGAAAGTATTCAGTTTAATTACTTGCCTTTGTTGACATGTCACACTTTCTTTTACTCTTACTTTGGCTATAGCAGGGCATTCCTTTGAAATGGACTGAAAGAAGTCCCTACCCAGGGAAGATTTCAAAGAGGACAACTCTGTTGGTGCTTTGCATCGGTCTCAGGGAGAGAGGTCTATTCCCAGCATGCACTGGAATACAGGAAAGACTAAAACTGAATGGAGAAATTGGATAGTTTCCCAGCTCCTCCGTGCAGTCCTTCACAAGTGTGCTCTCATTATAGAGTCTCAAGTGTTATAAAGAGTAAATGCACCATTTCCAAAAATCTGTATAGGAGCACATTCTAAAATCAAAAAGAAATCATGTTTTATTATACATTATTCTGTGCATTCTCCACATTTGGGGTTCCCTCCAATAATGCAAAAGATTGACAGTTAATTGACTACACTCAAGTTATATCCATAGTCCAACTTTGCCACATTGGCGCTACATCCTGTCTGACTGTCTATCTAGGCCAGGGGTTCTTAACCTGGGGTTAGGCTTCCAGGAACTCGTGGGCTTAAATGGGAACAAAAAGAACACCTCTATTTTCATTAACTCTGGCTGAAATGTAGTATTTCCTTCAATTATTTAAAAGCATTATTTTGAGAAAGGGTCCATAGACTGCCAAAGGGATTCGTGGCGCAAAAATGGTTAAGAGCCCCAGGTTTAGGTTACGGCTGATGTTAGGTTTCAGTTGAAGAGCTCTAAGGCACAGAAAGAAGCTATTCCCTTGCTTTATGAAACACTCTCCAAGGGGTTCTCCTAGTTCTAATACCATAGTTACTTTCTTCCAGTAAAGTTGGTTAACCTGTTGGAAAAATGGTTCCCACCAGCAAAGGTTATGGCTAGGAAATAACTGTAAAATGCCACGTGATGGATAATTTGACTCACTTGTGAGATCATTCATTGTCTGCCTGTGGGGTATGAACATTTATGGCAGAAAGATAACAGGGACAAGCCACTTCCCTCCTTATCCCCTCACTAAGAGAGCCAGTGGATTTCTAATTTCCACTCTTAAATTCTGAAGCCTTTGGGAGAATCTGAGGGTCCCTGGTTTTTGCCTTTGGAGTGTGGGATACTATGCTTCCCCACCCAAGGAGTATACAATGTAAAGTACTACTTATACATACATCTATAGGTATATTCTATTCAACTCCAAAAAGCATTTCCTAAGTATCTAGTTTGTACAGTATAAGATGTATAAGTATGTATATAGTATGTATGTGCTAGCTACCAGGGAGATCAAGACAAAATGAAGAATAGTTATTACCCTTAAGAAGCTTACATTTTACTGGGTATATAAGTAAGCTATGATTATAAAGTAAAATGATTGATCGACAAGTCATATCTAATATCGTATGACTATACTAACTTCTTAAGGGACATGAGGATAGAGCACTGAACTTGGAGCCAGGGAGACCTGAGTTCACATCCTGCCTAAGAGCATAGGAGATTTACCCAGGGTCACATCAGCTGTGTGACCCTAGGCAAATCATAACCTCTGCCTGCTTCAGTTTACCCCTCTATAAAAAAGGAATAATAATAGGACCTATCTCTCTCAGTTTTTGTGAGGATCAAATAAGAAAATATTTATACAGTATTTTGCAAACCTTAAAGTACTTATATAAATGCTAGCTATTATACTAAATATAGCATATGATATATCGTATTCATGTATATAAATATCAATTTATTTATGGATATGTAGATATTTTGATCTACATGGATATATTTGATTTAGATCCATGATTTCATCAGCACAGGGAACTTTCAATGTGGGAATTCCCTTAACTAATGCATACTAGCAACCCTTTTGTACCTTCTAGGCTTAGAGAGCTGCCTGTGGAATGAAAAGGCTACCCCTCTGAGATGGTTACACAGCTAGTAGGAGCCAAGACTTGAACCCAGGTCTTTCTGATTCCTAGGCTGGTATATAAATACAAGCGCATATGTGTATGCGTGTAGATAGACAGACAGACAGATAAATAGATAGATATGTGTATACATGTGGTTTTGTTTTGGAGTTATGATTTTTTTAGTTTAGGGAAATTCCCTGTAATAATGTAAATTGGGAGTTTACAACTTTATAATCTTGGAAGATCAGCAGCTAGGTGGCACAGTAGATAGAGTGCTGGGCCTGAAGTCAGGAAGACTCATCTGCCTGAGTTCAAATCTGGCCTCAGACATTTACTAACTGTGTGACCCTGGGCAAATCCTTTACCCCTGTTTGCCTCAGTTATTCATCTGTAAAATGATCTGGAGAAGGAAATGGCAAACCACTTGTACCTCTGCCAAGAAAACCCCAAATAGGATCACAAAGAGTTGGACATGACTGAAACAGCTGAACAACAACAGCCTTAGAGGATTGCCCAGGACACTCAGACAGCAATGACTTGCCCATGGTCAAAGGGATGGTATGTATAAGAGGCAGATCTTGAACCTTAACTATGATACCAGTTCACTATTTACTATGCGATGCTGCTTCATAGATAGATAGATAGACAGACAGAGAGACATATTCATATCCTATCCATCTGCCACATGACTATAAAGCAATAAAATCATCATGAATGTCTTTGGCAAATAATCTTATTACTTTCTAGCCATACCTCACTTACATATGTATAGCATATGTAGGGGTGACTCTAATGTTTTTTGGTATGTATGTAGCTGGGTTAGGAAGACAAGCACCCAGAAGTCCCATAAAGACCTCCAGGGTTATATAGGGATTCCTAGAGGCTTCAAAATTTAACAGTATAAGGATAGCTAGGTGGCGCAGTGGATGGAGCACCAGCCCTGGAGTCAGGAGGACCTGAATTCAAATCCGGCCTTAGACACATAACACTCACTAGCTGTGTGACCCTGGGCAAGTCACTTAACCCCATTGCCTAGCCCCCCTCCAAAAATAATAACAATATGAACAAAAATCCATTGGTTCTTGTAGTAGAGACAGGGGAGAGGAAGACAAGAGACTCTTTAGGAAGGATCACAAGCTTCTTAGTCATCTGTATGGGAGAGGGGTGGCAGTCAGGGCGTATACCAGAGGTGTCAGACTCAGGGTTGACAGGCAGATCTCCTGAGTGCCCCAGATTAAAAAACAACCGGGAAATGTTTAACAAAATAAATAAAATTATAATTCAACATAGATAATATCAATTTAAGGTTTTCTAAGTCAATATGGGGCCCTTAGGGATCCATTTCTTTTTGAGTTTGACACCACTGGACACCATGCACCTATACAATGAAATAAGGGAATAGGAATAGGAACTGGATCTCTGATTTCACTTGCATAGTAAGGAAATTCTCTCTAGCAATATAGGTTGGCACCTAGTCTACAACTTAGCTTTAGAGAATTTCCTAGAGTGTTGGCTTAGTCAAGTCCGTATGTCAGAGGTGAGACTTGAATCCAAGTCTTCTAGGTAAGGAAGGGAATAAGCATTCATGTAGCCCCTACTCTGTGCCTGGTACTGTACTAAGCATTTTATAAATATTGTCTCATTTGATCCTTACAACAACCCTGTGAGGTAGATACTGATATTATCCCCATTTTATACAGCTGAGGAAACTGAGAAAACAGAGGTCAAGCGACTTACCCAAGGTCACATAGCTAGTAAGTGCCTGAGGGTGGATTTGAACTCAGGTCTTCTTGACTCCGGGCCCAGAGCTCTGACCACGGTTCCCCAACTGCCTCTGGCTTTGAAGTCAGCTCTCTATTCACTATACAAGGCTCCTGGTCATATGACATATAATGTACAATTTGACAGAGGCACCAAATTAACAAAAATTAACAACCGTGCAAGGGTATGAATCTCCACAAACAACTGATGAGCCTAGTGAAATCTTTCTGGTTTACTGGGCAAAAAATACCTTTTAAAAAAGTAAACAGGTTTCCAGCCAATGGCTTGGAATACTTCTATATGTGATTCCTCTCTGGTAGGGGCACAAATCCATTTAAATTAATTGCCTAAAAACCTTTTGATCCCATTGCCTAGAAGAGTTCCTGTGGGACAATAAAAAGCTACCTAAATAAAATGTATTGAAAGGACAGTCAGGGATAGCTTTCTCAGATGAAGAGAAGCGTGGTTTATGGCTTTTGCTAACAGATTGGGGAGGGCTACGGCAATACCTGAAGAACTCACATGAAAAAATAGATAGCAAGAAAATTGCTTCTGATTCAAATCAGCTCCAGCCAGGAAACATCAAACAAAAGTAACCACACCAGTTAAAGCCCAACCTTGACTCTGCCTGTAAGCACTTAAGTTTTAGCCTCAATGTCAGCACCTTTCATCCTCCAGCTTTTTCTTTCTTTCTTTTTTTTCCTTTTTTTTTTTTTAAATCACATTAGGTCATATCTTAGCAATTCCAAAGAAATGTTGGATCTTACCCAGTAATAGATCTCATTCGTGTTTGATGACATCTTGTGGCTGTTTCCCCCTCTACAAATATGCTATACAGTGAAAAATCCTGGAAAGGGCATTGTATTCATGCCTCAAGCCTAAAGGAGGTGTGTGCCAGTGTAAGAAAAATCTGAAATTGCCTCCCCTGTACCCCTCTCCCGCACCCCAAGTAATCTGCCACGGACCCAAGAAAAACAGAGTCAGCACTGGAAAGGACCTGAAAAGTCCGCAAAGCCAACCCCCTTATTTTGAAAATGAGGGAACTTAGTCCCAAAGAGGAAACATGATTTGTTCTATAGACACATTGCTAATAATGATAAGTGACATTTATATAGGTTCGTAGATTCAGAGCTAGGAATCTTAGGGGTTATAATCCCTTCATTTTGCAGACAAGGAAACAAAACCACATAGATGAAGTTTTCTGTCTGTGCGAATCTCTGCAGTCTCTCCTGACTCTCACTCTACTACACCATGTTGCATCTCAAGGAAGAGGATGCTCAGGGCAAGGGGGGAGCAGGAACATAAAAGACAGAACATGGAAGAGGCCGTCTAATCCCACTTCTTCATTTTATAAATGGGGAAACTGAGGCACAGGGAGTATAATCTTGTCCAAGATTACACAGATATTAAGTGGCAGACGTGGGATTCAAATCCAGGGCGTTTGATTCCCAAATCACTCTTTTTTTCTGCTGTCCCCGCAACCCTTCTACTCCTTCTGGATGATTTTTGAGCCAAAGCATGGAGGTGGGGTGGGTTTGTAGCAGTGTACAACTTTCCTTGTTTCCAAACCTGAAGCAGCCCTCTGACTGTTATCCAATGACCCACTGGGGAATTTCCTGTTTCTACACTGGTGCTATGCTGTAGGCTACCCAGGTGAGGAAACAGTTGTACCTCCTGCCTTTGCAGACCTCTCTGTCCTAGGTGGCAGAGTAGATAGAGCACTAGGGCTTAGAATCAGGAAGACTTATCTTCCTGAGTTAAAATCCAGCCTCAGACACTTACTAGTTATGTGACCCTGGGCAAGTCACTTCACCCTCTTTGCCTCAGCTTCCTTATCTGTAAAGTGGACTGGAGAAGGAAATGGCAAACCATTCCAGTATCTTCTCCAAGAAAACCCCAAAAGAGGTCATGGAGAGTTGGACCTGACTGAAATAATTCAATGACAAAAATGCCCAAGATGGACACATGTGAAGAGGACATAAAGAAATGTATGGGCCAACAAACAAACACACTTAGGGCCATGCCGTCACATCCTGATACACTGTGTACCACGTCACCCAGTGTGGGAATTATCCATGGCTTCCCTCTGAACTGCAGACATATGTCTTATTCCTGTCCCCTCATCATCCAGGTATACATCTTTATTAAATACATTCTCAAAAAAAAATCAAAGCTTTGATCCTTTCCATATGTATAGAGGTAATGTGGGAGAGGAGATAGTGTGCTGGACTATAGGTTTGATTCCTGCCTCAGAAATTTAACTAAGTGGAATGATCAGGGTCACCTTTCTGGGTCTCCGTTTCCTCATCTGGAAAATGGGAGGACTGGCTCAATGATCTTTAAGGTCCCTTCCAGCTCTAAATCTGTGCCCCTATGATTCCATCCTATGATCACCCAGCCCGATGCTTTCCTCCATTGGGGAAAACAGTCAAACACTGACAGTTTGTTTAAAGCTATATAATTAATAAATTAAATAAAAAGGATGAATTCAACTACTCACTATTTGTAATAATCACTAATACTCATTTAGCACAATGCTTTCCTAACAGCAAACGTGAAGTAGGTGGTACAATTATGAGAAAACCCATTACACAGATGTGGAGACTAAAACTCAGAGAAATCCAGTAACTTCTCTAGGGCCACCTACTTACTGAGGCTCAAGCTCAGTTCTCTCGATTTGAGTTCAGGGCTCTTTGTTCCACCACACCAAGTTTCCTTTCTTGCCCCATGAGCCCTTAGCCCAGCTGTGTGACTCAGTCCTGCCTCAGTTCCTCCATCCCTCCCAGAGGCCCATTCCCAAAGTCCGTCCAGCTGTCTATCTTACCTGCTCGGCTTTCTGGTGGAACACGGCCGACATGGCCAGGATGGTGCTGCGCTCATCTAGGGCGCGGCAAAGCTCTTCCATTCTTGGTCCAGTTGGGTGGAGATCTGTTTGATCTGCTGGGAAGCATAGTGCCCTGCTTCTGACAGGCGGGAGGCCACGGACATGATGCGATTGATGTTCACATAGGCATTCTGAGAACCAAAAGGAGAGTTCCTTAGAGGGTCAGTTACCAGGCAATTAATTGAGCACTTTAGGTCAGGGGTGGGGGGTGGAGATGCCCCAAATGTAGAAGACTGAGCAAGGATGACCAGGGCAGCACCTCAGTTTAGAGTATAAATCAATTACTGGCCCAGAGGGCAAGAGAAGGGTGGATCCCTCCAAAGTAAAATGCAGGCAGGCAACAGTCATCCTGATACAATACATATCTGCTAGGCAGAAAAGCAGGTGTGTTCAGGCGTGTTGCTAATGTCTGTCTGCTAAGCAGTGGGGAAGAATCACTGAATGTTATGATCTATATGGATGTTTAGTCAGTGAAGCTAAATATGTGAGGAGTGAAGGGTTAATGCTAAAAGCTGTTCCGGGCTTATTCTCTTACTTTCATAAGAGGTTTAAGTGTTTTGAAAGCCCAGCCCCATCTTGATAAAGAAACCATAGCTCAGTCCAGGGTGGGAAACTGGAGAGGAGGGCAATCATCACATCCTAGATCCCCAAGACTGTTCAACAGTCTCAGCATGGATTCCATACTCCCACCCTGAGAAGGGTTGAGGCAGGAGTAGATAGTGATATAGACAGCTAGGTTGCACCATACATAGAGTGTCAGGACTGGAGTCAAGAACACTCATCTTCCTGAGTTCAAATGCAGCCTCAGATACTTCCTAGCTGAGTGACCCTGGGCAAGTCACTTCATCCTGTTTGCCTCAGTTTCCTTATCTGTAAAATGAGCTGCAGAAGGAAATAGCAAATCACTCCAGTATCTTTGCCAAGAAAACTCCAAATGGGGTCACAAATGACTGAAAAACTATTGAACAACAAAAAAGATAGTCATTGATCACAGATCTGGAGCTTGAAGGAACATCAGAGGCCTTTAGTCCAATCATCTCACTTTACAGATAAAGAAACCGAGGCTTAAGGATGTTACAGTGACTTCACCAAGGTCATAGAGGTACTAAGCAGTGGGGAGGTATTTGAATGCTGCTCCTGGGATGAAAGAGCCAGTGTTCTTTCCACTCTTTGCTGTTGTTTAGTCATTTCAGTCTCGTGTGACTCTTTGTGACCCCATCTGGGGTTTTCTTGTCAAAGATACTGGAATGGTTTGCCATTCATTTCCTTTTCCAGCTCATTTTACAGATGTGGAAACTGAGGCAAACAGAGTGAAGTGTTTTGCCCAGGGTCACACAGCTAGTAAGTGTCTGAGGCTGGATTTCATTTCAGGTCTTTCTGACTCCAGACCCAGCACTCCCTCTCTACTACATCACCTAGCTCAACCAGAGTTTAAATAGAAACAGACAATTGTACCATCGTCTACCCTAATAATTATACCTATGAAGAAATTTATTCTTCTGTCTACTTGACTTAAGAACACCCAATAAAGCATCAAAAGCATCCAAGGTCTCCCACAGTTTCTGCTGGCTTCCTTCATCTACTATTCTGTTTACATTCATTCCCAGCTTGGCTTGGAAATTAAAAATGTATGAACACTCCTCCCCTGTCTCTTGATTAGGCTGGCAGAAACTCCCTTCAGGAAGAAAGCAGACAAAAGAAAAATGACACCAATCTAAGGGGTGGGGAAGGAGGTTATTTTTAACTTATTCTCACTAATTGTCTGAGCTGTCAAAACAATCAAATAATATTGTGGCAGCCTCTGTAACTGCATGAGAAGCACACAATGCCCAAGTGTTGTGGGACAGCGTTGAGAAGGTGTCTCAAAAACTTGGGCTCCTGCCTCTCCAAAACAATGAAGAATCATCAGCAATTGTGCCTGTGTCCCTCCTGAGCCAGGGGTCTGTTCTTCATCCTACATGTAGTCCATTGACACCAAAGGGGGATTCGTGAAAGTCCTTTATCCTAGTCCACTCCTCTGTCCTTCCTCCACCCAGCTTTACAACCACCCCCTCTGGACCCTCTGCTTCCAGGCACACTACTGAGAGAAATAATTATCAATAAACAATGATTTAGGGAGATTCAGATTTCCCCCTTTCCCTTTTATCCTTATTTCAAGACCTCAGTCTCTGAAGGTTGAACTAACCTTCTCTATCTACACCCCACCCAGGTGGGGCAGCCATGGTGTTCTGCTCAGGTTTGCATGGGGATAAAAGGCTGGGGGGTAACTTAAGAAGTAAATGATGTAATCAAGGTTCAGGTCCAGTCCTTGATTATAATATTCATTCTTTCATTAGTTGCTGACCAATCAGAGTAGATTGCCACTGGTGGTGAAGTGTGTGTGTGTGTGTGTGGGGACACCTACTCTTCAAAGGGCATAAAAATTGTGAGCCCTCTGCTATGGTTGTCTTTGGTCTAAAAGAGCCATGGTCAAATGACCATCCTTTTATTAAAATACTGTCATTCATAATAAAATGATTAAATTACCCAGAAAGTATGTCTCTCAAACCTTTTTAATCACCACACTACCCCTCACCCAGTCTAGTGCCATAAGGATTTCTCCTAACTTGAAAGCTCTCAAGGGGAGAAACTATCAGTGCAATTGATTTGGAGCCAAAAGTGGATTCAGATTCTATCTTTGTGACCTTGGGCAAATCATCTAATTTTGCTGGGCCTGAGTTTTTTTTTCTCCGTAAAATAAGGGAGTTGCACTAGGTGGTCTCTAAGGTGCCTTTTTAGCTGTAAATCTATAATTGTATGGGAAAAGCATGGTACTGGAAATAATCAGACACAAAGACTATTCTAATGTATAATTATGGGTCTGGAAAAGAATTCAATGATCATCTTTTCCTGAGACAGCTAGGTGGTACCTAGACAAAGTGTTAAAAGACCTGTGTTCAAATTCAGCCTCAAATCCAAATACTTACTAGCTGTATGATGCTGGGCAAGTCACTTCACCTCAGTCTGTTTCAATTTCCCCAACTGTAAAATGGAGTTAATAATAGCACCTAACTTCCAAGGTTGTTGTGAGGGTCAAATGAGATAATATTTCTAAAGCACTTAGCACAATGCCTAACACATATTAGGCATTTAATAAATGTTTGTCTCCTTCTTTATCCAAAACTTCTTTTTTTTTAACATATGAGTAAACTCAGTTAGTCCAAAGAGTGCTGGATTTAGACCCAGAGGAGCTAGGATCAAATTCTAGTTCTGCTACTTTGCTGTGTGACATTGGATAATTCAGTTAACTTCTCTGGGCCTTAGTTTTCCGATCCACAAAATGAAGGAGTTTGACTAGATGATTCCTTCATTTCCTTCCAGCTCTAAAACTTTGATACTATGAATACAATATGGCATTTATAATGCCAGGTCAAGGTCTCTAATATGGGTTTTGTCCTTTCCATGATGCTAGCCTGCCTCTTCCTAGTAGCCCCTCACTTAGCAAATTCTTCCTTGTAACTGACCTGAATCCTTTCTGCCTCACATGTTTCCTTAGTAGATGGAATCACTGTCTTCTTGAGTAATAATTCTTCAGGGTTCTGAGGAGTCATCATTACCTCATCTTTCAGCACTACTTTCTCTGGGCTTCTAAACAAATTGTGCTTAAAAGGAAAATCTACTCATAAAATTGATGGAGGAAAATGTCTTCAAAATTGGGAGTGTATATGCTGATTTTAGTGGCTCTGGCTTCTGAATAAATAAGCTGTTGCATTAGGGGGAAAAACATAGTTTAATTTCCTTCCTCTTCTTTTATTCCAAGATTAACTGAAATTCTCCCTCCTGCAAAAAATCTTGGCTAAACGGATAACAAGGAAGACTCTTGTTTCCTGACCCTGTCTCTAACTCCCAGCAACCTCTAGTTAACACCAAACTTGGGGAGGGGAGAGTATTCAAACTAGAAGTGTGCCATTCACTTGTCCTGGCCAAAAAAAAAAAAAAGGTCTCATGTTGTCTCATGTTCTTTCCCTGAAGGGGAAAGCAGGCTAGAAAAGGGAAAGGGTGAAATGATGTGATGTCCACATAACAGGTCCTTCCTCTTAGGAAATCCCTCCTCCAGTGAGCACGCTCCCTCCACCCCTTTTCATCAGACCCCAGCTCACCAGGAAAGGCAGCACAAGTTCACTGATTCCCTCCCACTCCCAGCCACTGAATGAATGAAAAATGCACTTTCAAGTACTTACTGCATTCTAGGCTCAGTGCTAGGTGTTAGAGATTCAAATACAAGCAAGCAAGATAGTCCCTGCCCTTAAGAAGCTTACATTCTAATAGGAGAAAACAAGACACCTTTCTGTCTCCCTTTTGAGCTAGAGTCGAAAAGCAGAGTGTGGGTCAGGGGGTGGAACCTGAGCAGCCCTATAGCGGAAATGCCCTGGAAGTGGCATGGCCCCATTCCTAATCTTACACCATAAATTGGGCACACCCACTCCCTTGTAACAAAGCAGAACAGCTATGCAAAACACTCATTGTAAACTGACTTCTTCAAAGAAAAGAAGGTGTGTTTCCTTCTTGGCTTTTTCAGGGACAAGATTAGGCATTAAAATTCAAGCTGTCTTTCGGTGTTCTTTTCACATACATTATTGGTGTCATGTATATTATCCTCCTGGTTCTGCTCCTCTCACTTCTTACAAATTTGCTAACATACAATAATATTCTACCGCCTTCAAATATCGGGGCAGCGAGGTGCTGGACACCTAGAGGCAAATTGCAGCGGAACTCACGTTCCTGAGGTCAAATCTGGCCTCAGACACTTACTTACTAGCTGTGTGACCCTGGGCAAGTCACTTAATTCTGTTTACTTCAGTTTCCTCATCTGAACAAGGAGCTGGAGAAGGAAACGGCAAACCACTCCAGTATCTTTGCCAAGAAAACTCCAAATGAGGCCATGAAGAGTCAGTCACAACTGAAATAATTGAAGATCATCCACCTTCAAATATCACAATATGTCAGTCATTCTCCAGTCTATGGACACCCATATTATATCTAGTTCTTTGCTACTACTAAAAAAAAAAAAAGAAGAAAAAGAAAAGAAAAGAAAAGAAAAAAAGTAGTGCTATGAATACTTTGTTATATTTGAGATCTTTTTCTATCAGTA